CTAATTTTTTTGTATTTTTAGTAGAGACGGGGTTTCACTGTGTTAGCCAGGATGGTCTCGATCTTCTGACCTCATGATCCGCCCACCTCGGCCTCCCAAAATGCTGGAATTACAGGCATGAACCACCGCGCCCGGCTTTTTAAGATTCTTTAGGGTTTTCTATGTACACAGTATCTTCTGCAAAAAAAAACCCCACAGTTTTACTTTCCTTTGCAACTTGATTCCTTGTGTTTCTTTTCCTCATCGTACTGTACTGACTAAGCTATGGCAGAAGATTTAACAATGTTAGCCTCTGAATGGGTGAGATTATAGGTGTTTTAAGATTTTTCTTCTTTTTGTTGGTATACATTTTCTAATATTTCTTTAACAAACATATATTGCTTTTACAATAAAATATTTTTCAAAAAAGAGTAAGTATGAAGAAAGGAAAACATGCAGAATACATTTAAGTTTAAAAAGCAGAATATAAATTCATTGAAGAGTTTTGATCCTGTAAAATATTTATATAAGGGACAAATACTTGAATGGATTATAGGACAGTGGAGATCCTTGATTTTTTATAATAGTGATTAGTATTATTACAGATATTGACAGGAACAAAAATATTTAAGTGTAATTATTTTTTACCCTGTTTTTATCTCTTTCTTCCTAGGAAATTCTTTTGTCTTGTTTTGCTTAGCTACTGAACTATTGTGCTAAACAGAAAATGGTCAAAATATTATTTTGAAGCATCACAGAGAGGGCTGCAGATGACTTAAGAAAGTACGGTGGCTCACGCCTGTTATCCCAGCACTTTGGGAGGCCGAGGCAGGTGGATCATGAGGTCAGGAGTTCCAAACCAGCCTGGCCGTCATAGTGAAACCTTGTTTCTACTAAAAATACAAAAAATTAGCCAGGCGTGGTGGTGGGCACCTGTAGTCCCAGCTACTCAGGAGGCTGAGGCAGGAGAATCGCTTGAACCTGGGAGGCAGAGATTGTAGTGAGCCGAGATTGCACCATTGCACTCCAGCCTGGGTGACAGAGCAAGATTCCGTCTCAAAAAAAAAAAAAAGAAAAAGAAAAAGGAAGTACATTGTGCTACCGGGCATGGTAGCTCACACCTGTTATCCCAGCAATTTGGGAAGCAAAGGCAGGCAGAGTGTTTGAACCCAGAAGTTTGAGACCAGCCTGGGCAACGTGTCATAATGCTGGCTCTACTAAAAATACAAAAAATTAGGTGGGCGTGGTGGCATGTGCCTGTAATCCCAGCTACTTGGGGATACTGAGGCGGGGCGATCCTCTGAGCCTGGGAGGTCGAGGCTGCAGTGAGCTATGATCGTGTCACTGCACTCCAGCAATTGGGGAGGGAATAGGAAGAAAGTTATTAGTGCTTAGAGGTCTGAGACTAGGAAAAGAGATGAGTAAAAATGATTTTTAGGGTTTATTATATATGCTGCTATTATGAATAGGAAAAAAGTTATTAGTGCTTAGAGGTCTGAGACTAGGAAAAGAGATGAGTAAAAATGATTTTTAGGATTTATTATATATGCTGCTATTATGGAAGGAGAAAATTGCTTTCTCAAAAATGTTTTTGTTCCTATGTTTTCATGGCATTTTGAAGTGTGTGTTTGTTTCTTTTGGCTGTGATAACATGCTGAGCCTGGTTGGATGTATTGCTGTTGCAACTTTATCTTCTTGGTCTGTGAGGATGTGACATTTGTAATTTTGATTATTTGCAAACAATTCAGTGGTTCATGATTGGTGTAATTGGAAATATAATTATCAACTCTGATACCAGTATGCAGGAGTATGTCACTTGGCCATTGAGGGAACTAAGTTAACATGCAAGCATGTTAATCATTATTACTTAGACAAGTTAGGCAGCAATTTTCATAAATTTTCAAAAAACCAATAGCGCCTTTATTTTTGTGTAGAAAATAGCTATTGAGTGTAAGAGAGCCAAATTCTATTATTGCTGGAGAGGTATGAGGTATTGTGGTATGAGGATATGCACAGGACACAACAAGCTCTCAATGAAAATTGATTGAGGAGTCTTGCTGTGTCACCCAGGCTGGAGTGCAATGGCGTGATCTCTGCTGTCCGCAACCTCTGCCTCCCGGGTTGAAGCAATTCTTCTGCCTCAGCCTAACAAGCAGCTGGTACTACAAGCACGCACCACCACGCCAAGCTAATTTTTGTGTTATTAATAAAGACGGGTTTTCACCACGTTGGCCAGGCTGGTCTGGAACTCCTGAGCTTAGGTGATCCACCTGCTTCAGCCTCCCAAATTGCTAGGATTACAGGCATGAGCCACCGTCCCCGGCCTGACATTCCTATATTTCTGATTCTGGGAATTTTCAAGTCTCTAAGTATATCACATAAAAGACTGTGATATTAATTCTGGGGAACCTGCTGACTGAAAAGATTATTGAATTAGATATCAAAAGATGAGCATTTTAATCCCAATTATGCCACCTACTAGCTAGATGGCCTTGATTAAATTACCTTACATTTCTGAACTTCATACTCCTTTTGTAAAGGGGAATAAGAACTTTGGATCTGCCAGACTGCTAATTATATGGTGCAGATTGTACTCTAGTGAAGGGTAGCCATCTGGTTAAGGGAAGGGAGGGTATGGCTGAAATCCGGGGTACTCTGTGCAACAAGCTGTGTACCTTAGCATGGGGTGTGCCTAGAGAAGGCATGCCTTTTTCAATCTCTCACAGAGGCCCATCTGTTCACCAAGTAGTGCACAGTAGCTCTGCAGCTTCTTGGGGGCGACGGGGGCCGGGGGTGAGACCCTATTAATTTGCTCAAAGATGCTGTATAGACCATGGTGGATCTGGGCTGGGCGCGGTGGCTCATGCCTGTAATCCCAGCACTTTGGGAGGTCAAGGCGGGTAGATACCTGAGGTCAGGAGTTTGAGACAACATGGTGAAACCCAGTCTCTACTAAAAATATAAAAATTAGCCAGGTGTGGTGATTCACGCCTGTAATCCCAGCTATGCAGGAGGCTGAGGTTCACTTGAACCCTGGAGGCAGAGGTTGCAGTGAGCCAAGATCGTGCCACTGCACTGCAGCCTGAGCGACAGAGATAGACTCCATCTCAAAAAAAAAAAAAAAAGACAATGGTGGATCTGGCTATGCCTGCCTCACAGGATTGTTATGGAGAACAATGAGATTTGTGTTAAAGTACTTTGAAAAGTATAATGTAACACAAATATAATGTCTTATTTACTGTTCATCTGTGGTTTATTTTAGGGTAGATACAACAAGAATTGAATACTCCATTCCTTTAAGAGAAAACTGGGCACTACCATATTTTGCATGCCAAATTGCTGCACTTACAGGCTATTTAAAAAGCAACTTAAATACTTATGGAGAGGTAAGATACAAATCTGTTTTATCCATTGCAGCTAATTCTAATGTATTGCAAATGTGGTACATAATAGCAAATAAATTTTAGTCCTAGTAAGAATTAAATAATATTTAATGAAGCCTGGTTACTACATATTAAAAGGTATAGTTAGGTAGTTTTCTTACAACACTGTTACTCTGTAATCTGATTAACAGTCAACAAGGAGAAAGGAGATGTTTTATTATTTTAATATAGTTAACTTGACAAATATATGAAGAATCTCTTATTTTGAAAATCTGTTCCACTGTTATTTTATCACTTCTTGGACTTCTGGGAACATTGATGGCCTTCAATCGTCATGATTTAAAGATATATTAAACAAGATGTAGAGTGACCGCAAATGACAGCAGTGTTAACTTGGATGGCAGCCCTGCATATTCTGTTTCTTCTCATGTTTTCTGTGACTGAGGTATAGGTAGGTTGGTAAAAATTTCAGGAGACTTTCCCTGGTAGTTTAGATTCTTACATTGTTATTGTTATTGTTGTTGCCACAGCCCTTTTGGCAGTTAGAAAAAGCCTGCAGAGTCTGTCTCAGGATAATGATTTTAGGCCAGGCGCTGTGGCTCATGCCTATAATCCCAGCACTGTGGGAGGCTGAGGTAGGCAGATCACTTAAGGTCAGGAGTTTGTGACCAGCCTGGCCAACATGGTGAAACTTCGTCTCTAATAAAAATTCAAAAATTAGCCAGGTGTGATGGCACACACCTGTAATCCCAGCTACTTGGGAGGCTGAGGTGGAAGGATCGCTTGAAACTGGGAGGCGAAGGTTGCAGTGAGCTGAGATCGCACCACTGCCTTATAGCCTGGGCGAGTGAGACCCTGCCTCCAGAAAGAAAAAGAATAATTATTTAAAATGCATAAAATGATTATAGAGGCAACCAGTTATATTGAAATTGACTGAATTGTAACAGTCCTTTGATAGTCTTCTTATTTGGGGTTAAGAATTCCTGGCTAGAAAAAGAGAGCAGAGATTATTAAACCTGGTTGTCCAGGAAACAGGATGTACTTATGGGTCCTTTATAAAAATCTCTGAAAAAATGTACTATTGTTTTCTCCTTTCAGTGGTGACAAATGTCCTGAGCATAGCAAACTTTATTATTTCATTTTTATAACTAGCATTTCCTTTTTTGTGTATAAAATAACATGAACACATTTCAGCTTTGTGGTCTTCCTTTATGTTGTATTTGTATAAAGATCTTTCTGCGCAAGAGTATATTTTCTTTTTTTTTTTTTTAGACAGTCTTACTATCTGTCACCCAGGCTGGAGTGTAATGGCGTGATCTCTGCTCACTGCAACCTCTGCCTCCCAGGCTCAAGTGATTCTCCTGCCTTAGCCTCTTGTGTAGCTGGGATTACAGGTGCCCAGCACCATGCCCAGCTAATTTTTGTATTTTTAATAGAGACGGGGTTTCACTATGTTGGCCAGGCTGGCCTCGAACTCCTGACCTCAAATGATCTGCCCTCCTTGGCCTCCCAAAGTGCTGGGACTATAGCTATGAGCCACTGCACCTGGCCAAGAATATATTTTCTTTAATAGTCAGAGAGTCTATGATTGAATATTTTCCTGTTTGATTGTATAGCTGTCTCTTAGAGAAGAATAGTGCTTCAATTGTTAAGTAAAAGAGTTTAGCATAGGCCGGGTGTGGTGGCTCACGCCTATAATATTACCCAGCGCTTTGGGAGGCTGAGGCAGGCGGATCCCCTGAGGTCAGGAGTTCGAGACCAGCCTGGCCAACATGGCGAAACCTGTCTCTATTAAAAATACAAAAATTAGCTGGGTGTGGTGGTGCACAGCTGTACTCCCAGCTAGTTGGGAGGCTGAGGTGGGAGAATCGCTTGAACCCAGAGTTGGGGGTTGCAGTGAGCTGAGATCATGCCACTGCACTCCAAGCTGGGTAACAGAGTAAGACTCTGTCTCTAAAAAAAAAAAAAAAGAGTTTGGTATAGCAGAATGAACTGCCTAAGTTTCTTTATATTTACCTTTTTGTTTGTTTCTTTGAGACATGGACTCGCTCTGTCACCCAGGCTGGAGTGCAGTGGCATGATCTAGGTTTACTACATTTTTGACCCATCACCCATCTTCCCCCAATAATATCTTGCATGACCTTAATACCTTGTCAAAGTCAAGAAATTGATATTGATATAATACTGTTAATTCAGGCACTGACTTTCTTAACATTTCACCAGGTTTTACATGTACTGCTTTTGTGGAAAGTGGGTGTATAGTCATATTAGTTGTTATCACATGTATACATTTGAGTAACCGTCATCATAATCAAGACATAGAACTCTTCTCTCACCACTAAGAAACTCTTGTGTACGTTAATAATCACATCCTTCCTCTAACCCAAACCTCTGGCAACCACTGATCTCTTCTCTATCACTATAGTTTTGTCACCTTGAAAGGTTATATAAATGGAATCAAATCATGTAGTATGTAACCTTTTAAGATTAGCTTTTTTCACTCAGCCTAATAATGCCCTTGACATCCATGTGAGTTATTACGTGTGAATACTTTGCTCCTTGCCATCACTGAGCAGTATTTTAGCAACATGTTTTTTTTTTTTTTTTTTTTTGTTTTGTTTTTTTTTTGAGAGGGGGAGTCTCTTGCTCTGTTGCCCAGGCTGGAGTGCAGTGGGACAATCTCAGCTCACTGCAACCTCCGCCTCCTGGGTTCAAGCGATTATCATGCATCAGCCCCCCTAGCAGCTGGGACTACAGACGCACATCACTACACCCAGCTAATTTTTATATTTTTAGTAGAGACGGAGTTTCACCATGTTGGCCAGGCTGGTCTCGAACTCCTGGCCTCAAGTGATCCACCTGCCTTGACCTCACAGAGTGTGTCCGGAGTTGGTTCTTTCCAGTGGGTTGGTGGTCTGGCTGACTTCAAGAATGAAGTCCCGGACTGTCGGGGTGAGTGTTACAGCTTTTAAAGATGGCATGGACCCAAAGAGTGAGTGGTAGCAAGGTTTATTGTGAAGAGCGAAAGAACAAAGCTTCCACAGCATGGAAGGGTACCCAAGCAGGTTGCCACTGCTGACTGGGGTGGCCAGCTTTTATTCCCTTATTTGTCCCCTGTCATGTTCTGTTTTTGTCCTATCAGAGTGCCCATTTTTCAATCCCCCCTGCGATTGGCTACTTTTAGGATCCTTCTGATTGGTGCATTTTACAGAGCGCTGATTGGTGCACTTTACAGAGCGCCGATTGGTGCATTTTACAGAGCACTGATTGGTGCGTTTTACAGAGCACTGATTGGTGCATTTTACAATCCTCTTGCTAGCTACAGAGCACTGGTTGGTGTGGTTTTACAGAGTGCTGATTGGTGCATTTTACAGTCCTAGCTACAGAGTGCTGATTGGTGTGTTTTACAATCCTCTTGTAAGACAGAAAAGTTCTCCAAGTCCCCACTGGACCCAGGAAGTCCAGCTGGCTTCACCTCTCAAAAGTGTTGAGACTATTGGTGTGAGCCACTGTGCTCAGCTTACATGTATTTTTTTTTTTTTTTTTTTTGAGATGGAGTTTCGCTCTTGTTCCCCAGGCTGGAGTGCAATGGTGCGATCTCGGCTCAACACAACTTCTGCTTCCCTGGTTCCAGCAATTCTCCTGCCTCAGCCTCCCAAGTAGCTGGGATTACAGGCCTGCTGCACCATGCCCAGCTAATTTTGTATTTTTAGTAGAGACGGGGTTTCTCCATGTTGGTCAGGTTAGTCTCGAACTCCCGACCTCAGGTGATCCGCCTGCCTCGGCCTCCCAAAGTACTGGGATTACAGGTGTGAGTCACCGTGCCCAGCCCATATACTTTTAAAAAATCACGTATTTTGCATTTTGCTTCCCATTGTTGAGGCTAAGTTTCGTCGTCCCAGTTGCCTTAGGATATCCAAGTTCAGTTCAGTCTTTTGTGCAGTTATCTGGAGTCATTAAGAAACATTTGTGGTTGATTATTGAAACCTGTTTGATGTATCACATAAATCCTATGTGTAAAAAGTTCACACTACAGGCACAGTGAAAGTGAAGCCCTGTGAGACACTGCAAGCAAGGTCGGGGTAGGCAAGACTGCACAGAACCTTGAAAATGCTCAGGGAAAGAAATAACTTTGATAACTCTACAGGTTGTGTTTGATACATAGTTCTCTCTTTAAGACATTTTTACTGTGTGCTCTTAGAGTAGTTTGAGAGTCAACCTTTGGAATTAACAATTTGTTTTAGTATGTTGTAGCTTTCCCCCAGAATCTCAGAATTAATCTCCAAATGCCCGGTACGTTAATTAGGCTGGGTCTAGATTTGAGCCTTCATTGCTTTCTGGAATTGGTTTCTCTGGGAATGATGGTGTCAGGTCTGGTTATTACAGTTCTGATTGTTCCACATTAGAAGGCTTCCAGAACCCTTGCCCTGCGCATAGCTATGGTGACAGGAAGAGCAGAAGCTTATGTTAGAGCCCTTCTGTGCTTTGCAGTTGGTGTTATTTGCCCAACAGGTGGAAGTTTGCCATTTCTTACATTTGGTTCTCTGGTCTTAATCTAATTCAGGATGCTGGAAAATTATTTTATCTGCTGAAGGCTGAGGTTATTTCTGACTCTGGAATTTATCCTTGAGTGTAGTCAGCTGAGTATGAAAGACTTAGTTTTAGAGAGCACAGTTCTTAGGTTTCTTGACTGACCTTTATTGTCCTTCTCCTTCACTGTTCTTATCTGAACAAGGTCATTTGACACTACAGCCAGTGGAGGGATCCAGAGTTTAAAAGTAGGTCCATGGAAGAAGGAGAGGCTGTTGTTGAATATGTTATGGGATTTGTCACAGACTTGGTAACTTGCTAAGGGATCACATGGGAGATGACATTTTGAAGGACAGAATTGACCTAGGCAGATTTTCGGCAAGGGCAGTGACATCCCTTGTGTTTAGTATTTAGCAGAGGAAAAGAGCTGAAAGTTTAATATGGCTGACAGTACAGGCGTTGGGGAAAGATAACACTTCTGTTGACAGGAAATGAAAAAAGCAAAGACATAGGCTGTGAAATAGGCTGAGACGTAAACAGACTATTTAAATGAAGTTTTTAAGAAAATAAGTTTGAACCATGATGAATACCAACATTTAAGTTATTTGGACAGAGAAAAGTTAACATAAATTGTTAACCAAGTATAAAGTCATTAACTTGCTAAATGAAAGGGTAATAAGAGCCTGAAAGTTTCATAGAGATCACAACTATAGAAAGCGGCTACCACCACTAGGACTGAGGGAACAAAGGGAAAATTAGGAAATTATTAAAACTTGAAGCACCATGGAATTGAAATATTATTTTCAAAGCAAAAGGAGTTGCTTCCACAATAACAAAAGCTCACCAGCCAGGTCTAGTAAACGCCACCACTTTCTTATATTTATTGCTTTACTTCTTTTGGGATGAAAGAAAATTATATTGAATTTTCTTTTTCTTCCCCTTTGTCTTCCTGAAATTCTCAATGTGATGTTGAACATTGAAGGACAAGTGGTTGATTTCTCTCAAGTGCCTTATTTGAGCTCTTGTTGTTTTTGTAAGGATTTAATAATAATTATGTGATTTAAAAACAAAGTTTCAATAATTATATAGCTTAAAGTTGAACGAGTAACAGAGCTGCAACTTTGAGGTAACAGTCTCATAGTCTTTTATCGTAATAAAGCTATTGATATTTAGTTTCTTTCATTTGTTTTCCCTAGAGGTTTTGCTACTTGTTGATGAGTGCTTCAACTTACACATTTATGATGATGTGGGAGTATAGCCATTATCTCCTGTTTCTTCAAGCAATATCTCTATTCCTGCTAGATATCTTTTCACTGAAGCAAAATGACAAGGTATTATGGCATTTTGAAATGATGATTTTAAATCCAGAGAATGAATGTATTTATAGCATTGTATCTTAAAACCTCTCTTTTCTTCATCCATACACTCCTATGGTTCAGAACCCCAATGCGTACAACATTTAAGTTATTTGGACAAAGAGAAGTTAACATAAATTGTTAATCAAGTATAAAGTCATTAACTTGCTAAATGAAAGGGTAATAGAGCCTGAAAGTTTCATAGAGATCGCAACACAGAAAGCAGTTAACTGCTAGGGAAAAATATGAAATTATTAAAACGTAGAAATATAGAACAGGACCTCACAGAGCTGATACTCAGACTTTTGAGCTCAGAAATACCAGCTTTGCTCAAAAGTAGGGCCCTTCAGAATTGGGACCCAGGCCTCTGAGGATGTGGCAGTGTCTGACTGGTCTTGGGTTTCTTGGGCTGGAAGATGTGATGAAGCTAGTTCTTGAAGTGTTGGGAAAACTGCAGCTGCATTCAGTGCTTCCATAGGAAGTAATTGCTCTGTTGGGTTGAAGAAGCATCCTTGAGGTGAGATCACAGGACCCTCAAGTCATCAGGAAGCAAGAGGAAGGAGCAGGCTCCTTCCTCCTCCAGGCTTGCACTTTCCCTCTAGCATTTCCTATTGGCAGAGCTTCATAGGGAACCGACAGGAAAAGCAGAAATGTAGATTGCAGAGTCCTAGGCCCAGCATTGCCAGGCAAAGGATAGAAAGGGGAGTTTGGAACTAAGAGAATTATTTGGTAACTGGCACACTTCTGTAGAACCAGAACCCAAATCAAAAATAGAACATAAGCCAGGTGTGGTGGCACATGCGTGTAGTCCCAGCTACTCGGGAGGCCAAGGCAGGAGGATTGCTTAAGCCCAGGAGTTCAAATCCAGCCTGGGCAACACAGTGAGACCCTATCTGTACAAAAAATTTTTTTAAATTAGCTGTGTGAGGTGGGGGCTGAGGCGGGAGGATCACTTGACCAGCCTGAGCAACATGGTGAGACGCCACCTCTAAAAAAATTTAAAAAGGGAATAGATCATTACAAACACCCAGAAGTCTCCATCATGCTCTCTCTCCCAGTCATTACTTCAACCCCCAAGGGTAACTACTGTTCTGACTTGTTATCGTGAGGTATCTTTTTGGTTTTTTTTGAGATGGAGTCTCACTCTGTCGTCCAGGCTAGAGTGCGGTGGCTCAATCTCAGCTCACTGCAACCTCCACCTCCTGGCTTCAAGCGATTCTCCTGCCTTAGCCTTCCAAGTAGCTGGGATTACAGGCGCTTGCCACCACACCCAGCTAGTTTTTGTATTTTTAGTAGAGATGGGATTTCACCATGTTAGCCAAACTGGTCTCGAACTCCTGACCTTTTGATCCACCTGCCTCAGCCTCCCAAAGTGTTGGAATTACAGGCATGAGCTACCGCACCTGACCGAGGTATCTTTTTTTTTTTTTTTTAAGTGGCTCTGGCTATTGACTGATTTTTTTTCTTTTTGTTTTTTATTTTATTTTAATTTATTTATTTTTACTTTTTTGGAGACAGGGTCTCACTCTGTCACCCAGGCTGGAGTGCAGTGGCTCAATCATGGTTCACTGCAACCTCTGCCTCCCAGGCTCAAGCGATCCTTCTACCTCAGCCTCCTGAGTAGCTGAGACTACAAGTGCGTGCCACCATGCCCGTCTGATTTTTCTTTTTTCTTTTTCTTTTTTTGAGACAGTCTTGCTCCGTCACCCAGGCTGGAGTGCAATGGTGCGATTTTGGCTCACTGCAACTTCCATCTACCGGGTTAAGCAATTCTCTTGCCTCAGCCTCCCGAGTAGCTGGGATTACAAGCTCTCGCCACCATGCCCAGCTAATATTTTTTGTTTTTAATAGAGACGGGTTTCACAATGTTGGCCAGACTTGTTTCGAACTCCTGACCTCAAGTGATCTACCCACCTTGGCCTCCCAAAGTGCTGGGATTTCAGATGTGAGCCACCATGCCCGGCCAACATTAAAAATATTGATTGAACATTTGCATAATACTTTCCTAAATTATAGTAGAGCATTTACTGTATAATTATAGTTAAATCTAAATAAAACAAATGAAAACATGTGTGATAAAATATAACTTATTCTCACTTATTTTATTTTTGTCACAACAGGTTTATGAAGTTTATAAAATCTACATATTTTCCCTCTTTCTGGGATATTTACTGCAATTTGAGAATCCAGCTTTGTTGGTATCTCCTTTACTAAGTTTAGTAGCAGCCTTAATGCTTGCTAAGTGCCTTCAGGTAATTAGAACTGTCTTTTTATTGTTCTTATTTTAATTAATTTTTTTTGAGATGGAGTCTTGCTCTGTTGCCCAGGCTGGAGTACATCTCAGCTCACTGCAACCTCTGCCTCCTGGGTTCAAGTGATTCTCCTGCCTCAGCCTCCCAAGTAGCTGGGATTAGAAGCATGTGCCACCCCACCCAGCTAATTCTTGTATTTTTAGTAGAGACCGGGTTTCACCATGTTGGCCAGGCTGGTGTCAAACTCCTGACCTCAAGTGATCCCCCCTCCTTGGCCTCCCAAAGTGCTGAGATTACAGGCTTGAGCCACCGTGCTCAGCCATTCTTATGATTACTTTTTAAATTGTTAATTTTTTAACACCTCACTTCTTTATTCATATGCTTTTTCCTCCACAGCTGAATGTGAAGAAAGGAAGTTTTGTAGCTAAAATAATAAAAGTGATTAATTTTTACTTGGTGTGTACTCTGACAATAACATTGAATATTATAATGAAGGTAAGTAACTCTCTGGGATTCATATAGTAAAACAAAATGAATAATGAAGTATATTGGACTAAATTTTAATGAGAATAATGAGGTAGCACAGTAATAGAGTTTGAGCAGTATAATTTTGAGTTAAACAATAATCATAACTAGCATATTGGGTGAGAAAGTAGGATTCTGATTCTTTTCTGTATATAGTTAAAAAGAAAAAGGGAATGCATATTTTTTATTAAGTTAAAAATGTCACCATATGGAATAAAGTGAGACAAATGAAAAGTGTTTAGAAGAGTGGGTGAGTTACTTGAGCCTGGTGGGATAAGGTTGAAATGTTCTTGATCACCTGAGGTTAGGAGTTTGAGACCAGGTTGGCCAACATGGTAAAACCTCATCTCTACTAAAAATACAAAAAATTAGGTGAGCGTGGTGGTACGTGTCTGTAATCCCAGCTACTCAGGAGGCTGAGGCAGGAGAATCACTTGAACCTGGGAGGCAGAGGTTGCGGTGAGCCAAGATCATGCCATTGCACTCCAGCCTGGGCAACAAGAATGAAACTCTGTCTCAAAAAAAAAAAAAGAAAAGAAAAAAAGAAATGTTCTTAGTACCCCATTGTAGTTTATGCTTCAACATAAGGTCATGGTATTGATTTATGTCAGTAAATCTCCTTGCTTCATAGTCGTACCATATATTATTTATTCATATTTTTGTTTTGTAGTCTTGTTGTGTTTTCTGTCTCTAGTATTGGGGAAAGCATGTGCTTGTAAGCATAGCTAATATTTCTTTGTTTAACTGGTGTTTTTCTCTTCTAGATGTTTGTCCCACACAAAGAAAATGGGCACATGCTGAAATTCCTTGAAGTAAAATTTGGACTAAATATGACTAAGTAAGTTTTAGATTATGTAAGTTTACCTAAATTGATACCACTTAGACAATAAAGATAAAAAAACTTCAATGGCCGGGCATAGTGGCTCACATCTGTAATGCTAGCACTTTGGGAGGCTGAGGCGGGTAGTTCATGACTGCTTGGGCAACATGGCAAAACCCTGTCTCTACAAAAAAACCAACCAAAAAAAAAAAAAAAATTAGCTGGGTGTGGTGGTGCATGCCTTGGTCCCAGTTATTTAGGAAGCTGAGGTAGGAGGACCACCTGAGCCTGGGAGGTGGAGGTCGTAGTGAGCCAAGATCGTGCCAGTGCACCCCAGCCCAGGCGACAGTGAGACCCTGTCTTAAAAAAGAAAAGAAAAAAAAACCTTAGAATGTGTTTACCACATTGTTAAACTTTAACATTTTGTTCTAAACCCAATGATTTAAGTAGACATTCTCAATCCATCAGTGAGCACTCCTGAACATCACTCCATCTCTAACATCCTTCCCCACGGCTAGGGATTGAGGATAGGAGTTTAGAGATGGATGAGAAATGAGGACGCAGATAAACATATATATATAACCAGGAGTCTTGTTGATCATACTTAGGGCCAAAAAATGTTTATCCTGATTCATACTGCTCAAAAGGTTTACATTTCAAATGTTATGATTTATCTTAATAAGTAGGTATCTCTTTTTTAAGTGGGTCCTAGTTGAGTTACACCTGTCAATATAGAGTAGGTCTATCCAATAATAATATGTGAACCACTTATGTAATTGTAATTTTCTAGTAGCCGTATTTTTAAAAATACAAAGAAGCAAGTGAAATTAATTTTAACATATTTTCTCTAATATATAAAAATAATTTGTAAACAATGTAAAAATTATTAAGGATATATTTTGTTTTTCAAATCATTATTTTGCTCTTCTTTTCTTTGAAATCCTGGGTGTATTTTGTACTTAAAGTATGTCTCAATTTGAATTGGCCACATTTCAGCTGTTTAAAAACCTCATGTCTCTAGTAGCTACCATATTTGACAATGCATTTGTAGAGGTTAGCCAGCTGAATTGTTTGTTGTCTTCTAGATAAAGATAGAAACCAAAATTCCCTAAAAACTATATTGGGCTTTAGAGATGGTCATGTTACTTGGCAATAAAAAGCAGCAGTTTTACATTCATTAGAGAGGTTTTAGTGAGAGCACATGCTTTGTTTACTAATACGTTACTATTATCGTCATTTATAAAGGATAGTACCTTGCTATTATAAGTAAACGGGTTTAGGAAATGTGGTTTTTCTTAGTTTTTACTGATATTAAAAAAAATACTTCTGTGTTCAGTAGTTTAAAACGTCTGTGAATTTAATATCATGCTTTTTGTCTTCTATAGGAATTTTACAATGAATTGGCTCCTCTGTCAAGAATCCCTGCAGGCACCATCTCAAGATTTTTTTCTGCGATTGACACAGTCTTCTTTATTACCTTTCTATATCCTGGTGTTAATTATTTGTTTTCTTTCTATGTTGCAAGTTATTTTTAGGAGGATTAAGTAAGTACCTATGAGAATCAATCATATTACGAACATACATTATGGAAATGTATGAAATACTTATTTTTAATATTCTTCCAATATTTTTATATTTGTTTTAGAGCTTCTAATTCCATTCTCTTTTCATTGACATGGAAAATATCATTATAAGATGTGTTGGCCAGGTGAGACGGCTCACACCTGTAATCCCAACACTTTGGCAGGCCAAAGCTGGCAGATCACAAGGTCGGGAGTTTGAGACCAATCAGGCCAATATGGTGAAACCCCATCTCTACTAAAAGTACAAAAATTAGCTGGATGTGATGGCGCTCACTGTTAATCCTAGCTACTCGGGAGGCTGAGGCAGGTGAATCGCTTGAACCCGGAAGGCAGAGGTTGTGGTAAGCCGAGATTGCACCACTGCACTCCAGCCTGGGCAACAGAGTGAGACTCCCTGTCAAAAAAAAAAAAAAAAAGGTTGTGTTGACCAGAAAAATTTAAACTTAGTTTTTTGTTTTGTTTTGTTTTTTGTTTTTGTCTTTTTTTTTGAGACAGAGTCTCACTCTTGTTGCCCAGGCTGGAGTGCAGTCGCACAATGTTGGCTCTGTGCAACCTCTGCCTCCCGGGTTCAAGCAATTCTCCTACCTTAGCCTGGGTTCAAGCGATTCTCCTATCTCAGCCTCCCGAGTAGCTGGGATTACAGGCATGCGCTGCCACGCCCAGCTAATTTTGTATTTTATCCATGTTGGTCAGGTTGGTCTCAAACTCCCGACCTCAGGTGATCCACCCGCCTCGGCCTCCCAAAGTGCTGGGATTACAGGCATGAGCCACCGTGCTCAGCCCTAAACTTAGAGACTTAATATATAACTGAAGTTTAAATAATCAGTTAAACTTTTACAGACCAATTCACTAATTTGTACAAATTTTTACTTAAGAATAATTTATTCTATTTAACTTAAATGAAGTTAGCAGTATAAGTAGTTTTAAATTACAAAGTTTGAGGCCAGGGGCAGTGGCTTATGCCTATAATTCCAACAATCTGAGAGGCTGACACAGGATTGCTTGATGCCAGGAGTTCAAGACCAGCCTGGGCAACATAGTGAGACCCCCATCTCTTAAAGAAAAAGAAAAAAAAAAAAAGCTATAAAGTTTGACTAACCTTTGATGTTTTTATCATGTTTGAAAAGACAGAGATTGTGTATAATTTCTTAATTTTAAGAATTTATTCAAATTATGATTTAACTATATTAATTTAGCAATTGCTAGTTGATTCATAATTGATCTTGGAAGAAGAACCTACAAATCTTTATTATTATTTTCTTTTTTTTGAGACGGAGTCTTACTCTGTCACTCAGGCTGGAGTGCAGTGGCACGATCTTGGCTCACTGCAACCTCCACCTCCCAGATTCAAGCGATTCTCCTGCCTCAACCTCCAGAGTAGCTGAGATTTCAAGCATGCACCACCACGGCTGGCTAATTTTTGTATTTTAGTAGAAACGGGGTTTCATCATGTTGGCCAGGCCGGTCTCGAACTCTTGACCTCAAGTGTCCTCCCACTTTGGCCTCCCAAAGTTCTGGGATTACAGGCGTGAGTCACTGCTCCTAGCCCTTTTTTATTTTTCTGAAAATTCATGTTTAGTCTTCATAGAGTTTGTTGTCTTCAGGTTCTAAAAGCCATTTGCAGAAACGTAGTATATATGTTAGGTATTTAACTAGTACAATATACTTTCAAATTTTAAAGATCACCTATATTTTTTGTTATGTTGAAATATAAAATTTTAGGTATGTACTTCAAAGATGATAAACAATGTATCTTTGGTTTTTTACAAATATATTTTCAAAGTATTAAAAAATACATTTTCTTTTTGTAGTGGTAAGTCCCTGAAGGAAACTGTTACTCTTGAAGATGGACGAATTGGAGAAAGACCAGAAATAATTTATCATGTAATTCACACTATTTTATTGGGTTCTCTTGCAATGGTTATAGAAGGGTAAGTGTACTTTATTTGATCCCTTTGTTTTTACAAAGATTGTTGGCCGAGAGCAGTGACTCACACCTGTAATCCCAGTACTTTGGGAGGCCAAGGCAGGCAGCTCACCTGAGGTCAGGAGTTTGAGACCAGTGTGACTAACATGGTGAGACTCCGTCTCTACTAAAAATACAAAAATTAGCTGGGTGTGGTGGTGTGCGCCTGTAGTCCCAGCTACTGGGGAGGCTGAGGTGGCAGGGTCTGTCGAACCTGGGAGGTACAGGTTGCAATGAGCCGAGATTGCGCCACTGCACTCTAGCCTGAGCAACAGAGCGAGACCCCGTCTCAAAAAAAAAAAAAGTAAAAAAACCCACAAAGATTGTCTTTTTTTTTTTTTTTTTTAGAATCTCGTTCTGTCACCCAGGCTGCAGTGCAGTAGCGCAATCTCAGCTCACTGCAACCTCCGCCTCCCAGGTTCAAGCAATTTTGTCTCAGCCTCCTCAGTAGCTGGGATTACAGGCGTACAGCACCATGCCCGGCTAATTTATTTGTATTTTTAGTAGTGACAGGGTTTCACCACATTGGTCAGGCTGGTCTTGAACTCCTCACCTCATGATCTGCCCGCCTTGGCTTCCCAAAGTGTTGGGATTACAAGTGTGAGCCACCATGCCCAGCAAAGATTGTCTTTTTTAATGATAATAAGTAGATACATCCAATAATACATTTATAAAACTTTATAAAAACTCAAAACCTATAAACTTTCTTAATTTATCTGGAGTTTACAAAGATGTTTATAGTATAATGAACTGACATTTACTTATTCATTCATTTGTTAAAAAACTATTGAACATATTCCAAGTTCTAGGCATTGTGCTAGGTGCTAAAGTTACCTCAATAAGCCCAATAGTGGAACAGACAGTCTCTAACCTTATTTAACTTATGACCTAATGGAGATGACAGATGTCAATCATAAAAAAATAAAATTACAACTTTGGTAAGTGAAGGAGATGTACATGGTGCTATAAGAACATATAAAACAGAATTTGACTTAAAGAGATCAGAAAGGTTCCCTAAGGAAAAAGTGCCTGAGACCTGAAGGGTGAGTAGGAGTGGACTAGGTGACCCAAAGAGGCAAGAGTACTGCAGGTAGAGGGAACGGCATATGCCCAGGCCTGGGCAGAAAGAATCATGGCACATTGTTGGCGGGAGGAAAAGGAGCTCAGTCTGGCTGTAGTACAGGGAGCTTGTGGTAGGCTTTTATCCTTTCCTTACCTCATTTATTTTATTGTCTTTCAATGGCAAATGAACTTTTACAAAATATATGTAGGGCCCCATTTAATGTTCAATAAGGTAGAATTTTTGTATTTCACTTGCTTGATCATTTTAGTGTTCTGTATACCTTAAATTTGTTAAGGCAAAATAGGTATTCACATATTAATATTTAGATAAGTTATGTAATAATTGTTTAGGGAGTTTGAATCCTTGAAACATGTCTTGCACTATTTATTTTTAAGTATTTAGTTTTTAAACTTCCCTTCCTGCTTCTGTAGAAAATCGTGCCATCTTGTTAATAAACTTTATTAAAATGTATTCATTCAGCAGAAGTTTTTGGTTTTTTCATACTCTTCTAGCAATAGTGGGAGATACAGAAATACACATGATAGGATCCCCCTTCCTCAGAAGCACACAGTCTAGGAAGGTAAATGCAATGGTCAGAAATTCCCAAGACCATCCTTACTTCTGTCACCAACTGCAAGTTTGAGAGTCCTCCAAACTACCCTCAGGCTTGATTTTAAAAAGTCATTATACTCGAGTTACAGTTTGTTACAGTGAAAGGACACAGATTAAAATCAGCAGAGGAAAGAGACCCATAGGACAAGGTCCAGGAGACATCAAAGCACAGAACTACCATTTGTTCCCTCCCAGTGGAATCATGCAGACAGTACCTGTTTTCCTCTCAGAAACGATGTGTGACAGTACACATGGAGTACTGTCAATCAGGGAAGCTCACCCATGCTTTGAATTTAGGGTTTGTACTGGGGCTCAGTCATATATATGTGGTTGACCACCTGTGTGGCTGACATTAGTCTTCAGCCCTTCAGAAGTTGAACTGACACCACATGGCCCAAGGCTCCCACCGTAAATCACACTGTTAGCATAGACTCTTATGCATGACCTAAAGGACCCAGGCAAACGAAGATGCTCTTATCAGGCAAGAGGTTACCACCTAGAAGTTGAGGGCAAAGGCCAAATCTCTTTTTAAGCAAGGTTAATCCTTTACTGTACAATAAATAAGATGCATGGGAATACATTTCATAAAAGGCAATATAGGAGGCCGGGCACAGTGACTCACGCCTGTAATCCTAGCATTTTGGGAGCCTGAGGCAAGCGGATCACTTGAGGTCAGGAGTTCGAAACCAGCCTGGCCAACATGGTGAAACCCCGTCTCTATTAAAAATACAAAAAAATTAGCTGGGTGTGGTGGTAGGCACCTGTAATCTCAGCTACTCAGGAGACTAAGGCAGGATAATCACTTGAACCCAGGAGGCGGAGGTTGCAGTGGGCCAAGATTGTGCCACTGCACTCTAGCCTGGGCAGCAGGGCAAGACTCCGTATCAGAAAACAACAACAACAACAACAACAAAAGGCAATATATGAAACCCTTTGCATATTAAAGTTAATTATTCTTAAGTTGTAATTCATATAGGAGCATCTTTCTTTAATAGATGAAAGAAGAAAATGTTACCATCTTTAGAAGTTTGGAGCTTTAAATTCTTCAATTAGGTTACTTGTATAGAAACTGAATGTTTAATAGCATTGAAGATAATTATGTTTAAGTTTTTGTTTTTTGTTTTTGTTTTTTGAGACAGAGTCTTTGTCGCCCAGGCTGGATTGTAGTGGCACAATCTCAGCTCACTGCAACCTCTGCCTCCCAGTTCAAGTGATTCTCCTTCCTCAGCCTCCCAAGTAGCTGGGTACGGGCATGCGCCACCAAGCCCAGCTAATTTTGTATTTTGAGTAGAGATGGGGTTTCTTCATGTTAGTCAGGGTGGTCTTGAACTCTTGATCTCAGGTGATCCGCCTGACTCAGCCTCCCAAAGTGCTAGGATTACAGGCATAAGCAGGTGCGCCTGGCCTTGTTTTTGTGTTTTTGAGAGATAGGCTGGGCGTGGTGGCTCACGCCTATAATCCCAGCACTTTGGAAGATGGAGGACGATGATCACTTGAGCCCGGGAGTTTGAAACCAATCTGGGCAACATGGCAAGACCCCATCTCTACAAAAAAAAAAAAGCGCCAGGCATGGTGGCATACGTCTGTGGTCCCAGCCACTATGGAGGCTGAGGTGGATGGATTGCTTCAGCCTTGGAGTTCAAGGCCACAGTGAGTCATGATCATGCCACTGCACTCCAGTCTGGGCGACAGAGTGAGGCCGCGTCTTCAGTTAAAAAAAAGAAAAAAAGACAGGGTCTCATTCTGTCGCCCAGACTGGAGTACAGGGGTGCCATCACAGCTCACTGTGCTCTTGAACTCCCAGGCTCAAGCAGTGCTCCCACGATATCCTCCCAACTAGATGGGACCACAGGCTGGTGTCACCATGCCTGGCTAATATTTTTTAAAGTTTTTGTAGAGATGAGGTCTCACCATGTTGCCCAGGCTGGTCTTGAACTCCTGGGCTCAAGCCATCCTCCCATCTCAACCTCCCAAAGTGTTGGGATTATAGGCGTGAGCCCCTGTACCCAGCCACATTTAAGTTTTTTTTAAATTATGATAAAAAAGTACATAACATAAAATCTACTATCTTAATGTTTTTTAAGTATACAATTCAGCGGTGTTTAGTATATTCACACATTGTTGTACAACAGATCTGCACATTTTCATCTTGTAAATCTAAAACTGTATATCGATGAACAACTCTCATTTTTTTCCCTACCCTCAACCTCTAATAATCACCATTTTACTTTCCATTTCTTTCTTTTTTTTTTTTTTTTT